GATTGAAACTGTACCTCTTTTTTTAATTTATTTCGTTCACGAGCTTGTTTTACTTATCAATTGACTAGAAGTAATAGACTTCATATAGGACATGAGTAGAATTAAGTACAATAGGACCATCTCATTGAACGCGGGTAACAGTTTGTAAATATTTACGCTCTTTAAATAAAAATCCTTGGGAGGAGGGGGCATTAAATATTGATAAGATGATTTATAATTAAGTATATTTTTGAAAGATAAAAAAAAAAATAAACGCGAATATTTTTATTTTTATACCGCCCGCATAAAAACTGTACCTTTTTTTTCTTCTCAATTCTCTTATCAATTTTGTCTATGATACTTTATAATTTAAAAGCCTTGAAACATGAATCTACTTCTAACTACAGAAACCGTAGCATTATTTTTTAAATTTTATTGATGAAAACGCAACCGATCTCGTAAAGTAAGTATTGAGTAGTTAACGACGTCTTCTGCCAACTTTGGGGATATGTTTTTCTTCATTTCAGCATTAATCGATCAATTACCTTTCATTCCCAAATGTAAGATATATTCTTTTTTCAACCTGTATATTGTATCGGCCTCCAACCCCTTTATAGGCTTGTCTTGTGACCCCCTCACCCGAAAAAATGCTTTTATCAATAAAAACGATTTAATAAGGTTTAATGGACGATTATAAAGGATCAGAGGGTAGATATAACATACAGGTTGTAAAAGAGTATTTCTCAAATTAGGAAAGGACGGGTGGTTTACAAAATAATGCAGGAAAGTAGAAAAAAAATTATCCTGCAACTACCCCTTGCACTGACCTAATAAAGCTAACCTAATAAACCAAAGCTTTATCCGGTCACTGCCTAATATAGCATCGCGCATGTTTTCCGACGTTCTAAAAGCATTGTTACCTCACATTTATTGCAATGTTTACGCCATGGCTTCGTAGTTTCAACTGCAGAGATGTGCCTAAATCAGTCGGACAAATCTTATATTGGACGTTCAAATGTACAATTTTGCTGCAGGATAAAAAAAATACATGATAACTGTCTTGAAATATGAGCGATATTTGGGATAAGGGTCGAAAACGCAAGCCTCGCCCTCTATCACGTTTTCTTACCTTCGCCCAAATATCGCTTAAATTTCAAGACAATAACCATGCATTTTTTATATCCCTATCCATGCGCAAAATTCAGCTCCGTAAAATGAACAACATTTGCTTCAAGGGATCTGTAGCATTTTTGTCTAAAAGACTCAAATATATTTCAGTGTGACGTTAAGGTTTCTAAAGGTGGCTTATAAAACTTCAAACTGCTCAAGAAGAGCGGGAAATTTGATTTTCGCTGATGACGTTACTCTGTCAAGGCCTTCAACGTTAATGTCATAAAAAGTCATCATATAATACTTTGTTTTCCCATTCATTGGTTTGGCATTACATGCAGCCTTTTTCACACAGTGTATATATAAAATACACGAACAAGTAACGAGTAATATTGGTGTTTGAAAATAAAATTTACGTAATTATCATCTCTACATCATTTATAAACTGTAACAGAATGAAATTCTAATTATCAACACACATGTACGGAGATGACAGACTGATGGATACTACTTCTACCCAGTTATGTGACCTTTCACGGGGATCAGTTGAAATTAAAAAAAACATTGTCTTTGTTGTTTACATACTTTATATCATTAGACCATTAATTATAAAACGACAATTAATAAAATAAAAACAAAACTTTTATTATGTAACAATAGTTAATGCGATTTTCTTTTTTTTTTTTAGTAATGAATATTACATGTACAACACGATCTTAAACATAATACATATTAAGACTTTTCAATAGATTCATTACACATAATAACATTATATCTATATGTTTGTTACAATGTATATATTATAGAAACCACCCTTATGTCTAAAAATAAAGTTTTCATGATCTATAATAAAAGTATGTAACTTTTCATATTATGCGTGAACAAGTATGGATATAAAGGTGTAAAAAGTCAGTGAGGTTTAATCATCATGAGAGTTTCTTTTATCTGTTTACCATTAGTCACTGTGGGATACCATGGGTAGGTCCAGGACCCCGGGGACCAGGGACCGTTCAGGAAGGCTTGGTAACACCGGTTAAACCACCAGCCTCCTCTAATATTACTGAGTAAGCAGCACAGTTTCATCAGGAAACCCGTCGTTATCTCTGTCCGGGGTGGAGAAGTACATCCCAGACAGATCGTAGTAATAAGGAGAACCAGTGTGTAACATAGAGTCCCCTGTAAAATTATCAGAGAAAAATATAACATGAACACCTATTTCAGATTTGATCATTATCATTTACTTAAACTTTAAAGCTTAAAGTATCTATAGTATTCAACAATAAAACCTTTTTTTGAATTACTTTATATTGCATTGCTTTCAATTACAATAGATGAACACAGTTTTCATTTAATATTTAATATTTAACGTTGTTTTTCAGTTGTCATTTGATTTCTATTTTTACTGTATACGAACATGTTGATGAGTCTCAACAGAAAATATTTACATTTGCAAATGTTTTCCTTTATATAACACTACTAAAGGCAAGCGTTTTTATAACTGTGTAAATACAGGTATGGGGTCAAGAGGTCATAGATGTGCGTTTGGATAAACGTTCGACGTAATTTCTCTGTGACGTCATAAAGGGTCGACGCGCGTTTAGTGGATTACATACATGTCGTTGGGTTCGAAAATTTAAGGCATTTCACACGTTAAAAGTAACAATCAGGCAAATATAAAGTATGAATAAGTCACAAATGTAAATATAAGTAATAAGGTATCATTTTCTTACTTCACGGCTCTAACCTCCGCGCCACGCGGATGACATCAACAAAATTGATTATTATTTTATTCATTTGAAGCCTTTTTTAACATTGAAATGGGTAAGCCTATATACGTTCATATAAAGAAGGAATATTCTAAACAATAATTTCATGAACCAGTAAATTGACATAATATTAGAAAATAACTGTTTTGATTTTTTTCTTTTTTTTGGGGGGGGGGGGGTCACCTCTTTAAGTTAACAGTACAGGAAACAATAGCTTTTCTTCCATTTTATCAACACATTAATCATTAGAATTCTTCAAATTTGTGCGACTACACGTAGATACAATTTGTGTAGTTAACTTTTTTCTTTATTGTTGTATTGCTTTTGTTAAGTCTACTATGTTTATCTTCAACACAAAAGCGGGTTAATTACAACACGTCATTGTTATCGACTGTAATTAATTATATTTCCAATGCAAGTTTTTTTTTTTATTCAATGATCGTTTAACACCTTCATTGATTTCTCTGTATGAGTTATGTATCTGACAACATTACGTACAAGTACGCATGTAGTGTTTATGACGTGAACATGTTCAATCTTTTAGCTATTTATTACTGATTGGCTCATATAGTAGGGACTCTTGATTTTCAATATACAAGGAAAATTTTACTTTCAAAATATTGATATCCACGCATCCCTCTCCATTAATTACCTAACTCTAGGGTTGATTCTCACTAAAAAAAATGGTATTTGTCTATCTGTCACAAGAAATTAAACTCTTTCTCCCTCTCTCTCCTTAATATAGGTCGTCATTCGTACATTCTTTTTTCCGTTTACCTACCCAGGGTCCCGGTTGCTGGTCCGCCAAGAAAAAGTTGGTAGCTGTTGGTTTCGTCAGCAACAGAGAACTTGTTGTATAATTCATAGAGCTTCTTTCCATTAGTCAGTGTGATAGATACATAGAGGGAGGAGTTCCTTCTCTTGGTAAGTTGATGTATGACGTCATTTCCTTAAAAATTTTATCGTCGTGTAATATATAAAGAATTCATAAAGCAAAACATATTTATTTCAAGTTGTCATATAATTCAACATATGATTATAAAAGTATACAGAAATTTCTAATTGTGTAGTGCATGCAGCAATGAACATACATGTTTTGAAATCAAAGTAGGGAAATCGTTATATATTGTATTTTACATAAATTGTTATAAACTTCATTTAAACTGCTAAAAAATTAAATGCTAATTTAAACTGTTAATAATCAGAAGAACTATCATCCCCTAAAACAACATAAAATATTACAGAGTTATAAATGGGTACAATGTAAATTGCAAATTAATGGTTCCCCGAGGGAGGGGAATATTTCTGCATCTGGAACCCTTACCCTTTGGGAGCTATAAATTTGCTATGTCCTCTGTAGTCATTCCATAACTGTTTATAGCTTACCTATCCAGTAGGATCCGTTAGGATTCCCGAATCCCGTTTTGTAGTCTGTCCAGGTTCTGTCGAATGACACCGAACCACTCACACGCCTCTGGATAGCCTAAGAATTTATGAAGTATAGGAGGTTATTTTTTTATTTTTATTTTTATTGTTGATAGTTTATTTTTACTTTCACACAAATTATACAAATACAAAACAGACGTATCTGTAAATAAATATACAAGACAGTTTGAAATAAAGCAAAAACAAAAAAAGAGGTAATAAAAACTAGTGTAAAAGTTTATGTAGAGAGAAAGAGAGGGAGAGGAAGAGGGAGAGAGAGCGAGAAAGTGAGAGAGAGGGAAAGATGTGGGGCAAAAACTTTCTTGAATAAGTAACGGTAAAATATTTTTAAAAGTATTTCAACTATTCACCGCCAATGTCTATCAAATTTATCATAAACTTTAAACTTGCGTACTATATTAATCCCAACAACTATTTAAAGTAGTTATCAAATTTATGATATTATATTTTTTTTTTCTACAGTGTAATTAAAAAATATTAATTTCGGAATTTCATTATCTTCCTGTAAAATAAACTAGACCAACCGTTTAATGTTCATTCTGCGAAGAGATTTCATATCAGCGTTAAAATCAAAGATTAATAAATTGTTAAAGAAGGAGTAGTTATAATTGATGGTGGAGCTGAAGAGAGAGAGAGAGAGAGAGAGAGAGAGAGAGAGAGAGAGAGAGAGAGAGAGAGAGAGAGAGAGAGAGATCTTACTGTCCACCCTCCACCTTCTGTCATCATGTCACAGAAGACGCTGACCTTGCTGTTATTACCAAATGGATGAATCTCATACACACCAGATTCTGTATTATCATTTATGTAGAGGTTCTTACAATCTTTATATTTGTTTAGCTCTGAAAGAGAAAAGAAAAAAATATATGGCCACCTTCCTCTCTATGTCTCTATATCACAGTACACGTGCACCTGACTCTTATTACCCAGGGGATCTTTGAAATAAACGCCAGAGTCATTGTGACTGTTTAAATAGTAATTGCAACAATCTGTATAATGTTTTAAACCTGAATGTAAGAGAAATACATTTATTAATTTGTAATTATCATATCTATGAACATCCAGACAAAATTCAGAGAGAGAGAGAGAGAGAGAGAGAGAGAGAGAGAGAGAGAGAGAGAGAGAGAGAGAGAGAGAGAGAGAGAGAGAGGAAGTTACCTTTCCTGACAATTCTAGCATTTTCATGGGTCTTGGTGACATCTTCTTCAAGTTTCTTCACCATACGCCTGAGGGAATCAACCATTTTTTGGATCCTCCCCTGCTGGATCACAAGTTCTCGAATCTTCATCATTGTCTCCCCATTACTGGCACAACGATCTTTCGAGTAAATATACTGGGAACTTGTACATACGATGCCGGACATAAGGAGCGCTGCCAACACCATTGCCATGGTTTATCTTCCTTGATCTTTTCTTAACGAAAGCGTTTCTGAAATAAACTGTTTCTTGAAAATATCCACAGCTTTATATAAAGCCCTAAACACGGAAGATTAAAATTCAACCAATATAATAAATCATTGCCTTTAACCCTAACGTCACTTAAATCTTGAGCTTAAAGTTTTATATTCATGGAATAACTGTTAAAGTCAGATAAGCTTATTAAGCATGGATCACAGTCGTAATATCAGAGAGAAGGCTAGCCTTTACTCCACCTATTGTTTTTTTTTTTTAATTATTATTAGCTTTTCATAAGTGCACACAATTGATAATAAACAAATAAATACAGTTCACATTGGATATCTTACTACCTTTTGTTCTTGTTACAAAACTGCACAATTTTAAATGATCGCTTAAAAAGACAACCTCGTGAAAAAAGCTTTAAAGAAAAAAAATCCAGTTAATCATAATACTAAGGTTATTCACAAATGTTTTTTTATCTGGTTTTTGTGTATGTTTATTTAGTTAAAGTGAGTCCTTTGCCTCTTTCAAAATAGTAAGAATATTATATACTTTTAAGGGATATGGAGATAACTAACAGTAATATCGAAGTCCATAAAACAATACAAAATAAGAACAGAGCAAACACGGACCTCCGAAACACCAGAGATGGAATCAGGTGCCATGAAACGGAACTAGAACGCATTTTCAGGGAATGCAAATGTCTGTTTTTAGTCCAGCCTCAAAGAATTTTATCAAATTTGCATTTGATAAGTAAGGAATTAATAGCCATCCCCCTTCCCCCTTGATTAAAGAATTGATTTGAATTTTTAGAAGTCTCTATTTTTCAAAGCTTCATATTTATATACCCGCCGAAATATGGCTGAAATATTGCCGACTTGGCGTTAAACAATATAAAATCAATCAATCAATCATATTTATAGTCCAGATTTATAACCTTTTCATATTTATAGTCCAGATGTATAACCTTTTCTCTGTTTTATGTATTTTACTACTTCATAGAAATGTTGAATTATAAAACCTTAAGTATGAAAGATTCATATATAAGATCTAATGCAAATTTTCATTTAGAAAAAAAAAATAAAACAAAACTCATTAGCGATGTCTGCATTTCTTGACAGCTTTCCATCCTGACATTAGAAAAAAAATCAACAAGAAGTCGATCAAAACTTACATCAAGAAAAAAAATCCCTGATAGAAGGATAAATATTTTTGATGTTTGTTTTCATATTTAACTAAATATAAAATCAATAAAAAACAAATTGTTGTATTTAACGTAGAACCTACGTCGTATGACATCACAACTAGTGAATGTGTTTAGCCTGTGCTAGATCAATTATGACGTCATAATTGATTCAATGTCACTTTTTCCCGTACTTTGCACCTTCAATAGAAATGGTAGAAAATATGTTCACAGAATTCAATTTAAAATTATGCCAAAAAAATCTTAATTCACTTGTTTTCTGGTTATAATGCTTAATGAAATATGTTTCTTGAATGAGAGAAACCTGTAGGCACCTTTCAATTAATAGATCTTGACCTTTATTAAGTTAACAAATCAAAGGCCATTTTGTGTAATGAAATAACAATGTATTCAACTTACTGTAATAATGTAAATGGTATGTACATGTAACTATTTTGAAGGAATGCAAAAATTCTATAAAAAAAAATCTTCAGTTGCCAACTAAATAGTTGAAATATGTTGATGAAATGTGTCTAAGTCTAAGATGTACGTATTGTAGATCGTGTGTACATTTTTTAGATACATCTAATATATGTTACTTATTCATATTCTTGGAGTTTGATTACAATTGATTACAAATTTACAATTTTTCTATTACCGGTATACATGATCTTTTAAAATTAAATGTACGATTTTAGATAAACGTTTTTAATCTGAAAGTAATCCCAAACAGTTATATAATAATTAAATCCCGTGTAAGTGCAAAAAAGGTCAAGAATATTAGGATCGGTAAATTACCTATCTCTCATTAGTTAGAGGGGAAAGGTTTATATTTTAATCACTTTTTGTAATCATTTGGGTATGTTCTTTATCATATTAAAAATTAAAAACATTGTGACAAAGACTTCTGAAAAATATTTACAAATGTAGGGTGGAAAATTGACTGAAAATAAATAGAGTTCAGTTGCCTATAGTTTTTAAAAAGTTGACTTATCTTTTATGTCAATTGAATAAAAAGAATTTATTCTCGGGAAATATTGTTTGATACTGTTCAATTAATAAACAATAAAAACAATGATGTTTAAAGAAGTAATTTTTTTGATTTTTTGTCTTCTTTGCATGACAAGTACCCCTGAAAATGACTGAAATTGTGACGTCGTAATATGTAATTACCATTCCATGTTTAACTGCCTGCACTACATTTAATAACAAGGAAACATGTCATGTGCTTTTGACTGATTGATAAGCGGGTGCTAATTTATCATTATGAAAAGTTTGAAAATCTTGTGACAAAGACTTCTCCGACATAGGTTCTACCTTAAAAATATTATAAAGACAACAAATTGTTTGTGATTTATCAATTACAGTCCATTTTTCATTTAAATGTCAACCATTGCAAACATTGATTTTGAATTACTGTTATGATAAGCTTTTGATATACATGTACGTACCACCGTCACGTGCATTATTGGCAAGTAATCGTCAGCAGCCTGAAGTGGTGTTGTAATATAGAAGAAGATTACCAATTGATTTTGAGAGAAAATATGGGGGAGGAGGTTGTTATCAGAAATAAAATACATATTGCATATAAACTATATACAATGTGCCATTTGTCAAAGATAGAATTACAAACAAAAAATAAAAATACTGGAAAAAAGTCATTGAAGAAAAATTAAAGACTTTTTTCATGAACGCTTGATTATTTCAAGAAAGGATGGGTTCAAAGTATCTTTTGAAGAAAAAATGGAAATAAATAAAGTGAGGGTGGATGTTTCGTGGGTTGTATGCATTACAACAAAAACTGTATAAGTCATCCCTATTGATCTTTCAATTCAAATTCCTATACACGTACGAAAATACTTATAATGACAGTAGGAACAGGGTCAGAGTGATACAGTCTTAGCATAGTGGTATCATCATGGTAACAGTAACATGATACAAGTGATACAGCCCTAGTCTAATGGAATCATAATGGTAGGAGTAACATGATACCAGTGATACAGCCCTAGCATAGTGGAATCATAATGGTAGGAGTAACATGATACCAGTGATACAGCCCTAGCATAGTGGAATCATAATGGTAGGAGTAACATGATACCAGTGATACAGCCCTAGCATAGTGGAATCATAATGGTAGGAGTAACATGGTACCAGTGCACATTTGCGAGATGCACTCACGGTTTACTTTAACGTTTAAACCTGTACATTGTATGGAAGAACATTATTAATTATAGATAGGAAGTGCATTTTTGATTATAGATAAGAAAATCGTTTTACAGTGCTGCTATCCCACAAGTTGACAGGGGATGGGATTGGATAGGATTCAGGATTGAGGATTCACGATAGAAACATATACCCAGATAGCAAGACTATGTTGGGCCAACATTGGCAAAAGGTTGTATGGTTGGCGTTGGGGAAACAACGTTGGGCCAACGTTGGACCAATGTCACCATGCCAACCTTCTCGACCATGACAGAATTCCTATGTTGGCCCAATTGGTCCAACGTTAGCAACTTCCATTCACTTTACTTCCCAAGGAAGAAGGGATGTTGATGTTGGCCCAACGTTGGCCCACTGTTTATAATACACTCTTAAAGAAAGTGTCTTTTAAAGTTGGTAGTAGTATGTTGGCCCAACGTTGGCCCGATGTTTGAAATACACCCTTAAAGAAAGTGTCTTTTAAAGTTGGTAGTAGTATGTTGGCCCAACGTTGGCCTGATATTTGTAATACACCCTTAAAGAAAGTGTCTTTAAAGTTGGTAGTAGTATGTTGGCCCAACGTTGGCCCGATGTTTGTAATAC